TTGGAAGTTTATGCCTCCTTCCTAAATGATGTCACAAAACTTGCCCAAAAGTGGGGTTTCAATCATGAATGCTTTGTCTCTGAGGCTACATCTGCTACATCTACATCTGCTACGCTACATCTGCGCCACAGCTGCTTAACTTAAATAAAAGATAATAAGCTACAACAAAAAAATTGTTATATATATATATATATATACATATATATATATATATATATATATATATATATATATATATATATATATATATATATATATATATATATATATATATATATATATATATATATATATATATATATATATATATATATATATATATATATATATATATATATATATATATATATATATATATATATATATATATATATATATATATATATATATATATATATATATATATATATATATATATATATATATATATATATATATATATATATATATATATATATATATAGTCATATTGTGGAAAAACTTGATGGGCAAACTTCTTCAAAAGTACAATAGTTAGCACGGAAGTATTTTAATGCAATATTAAAACCAAACCTTGAAGTAACAGCTTTTAAATACAGTAGGTTGTCTTGCAGTCGAAGGCTTATTTGTGGGATGAGATGCTTGCTTCTTTATATGCAAACATTATCTTAAACTCAACAATGTTTATCCTCCAATGTTTTTTGAGATTAAAGTAAATCATGAAATTAAATATGGTTCTAGCATTTTTTTAAAGCTTTTTTGAGTTTCACAGAAGCAAGATGATAGAATTAAAGAAGCCTCCAAACTTTATTTAAAAAGTAAATTCTGGTGGGCTCATCTAAAGAATGTACAAGTTGCACTTCTCTGGTCTGATAACTCAGAGCAAAGATTATTTGCCGTCAATATAATATTGGCAATCAGGACTGAAAGTAAAAATGGCTCTAGTGATGCAAGACCTTTTAAAGTTCCATAAACAATAGACTTTAATGCTTGTAACATCAAAGAACTTATTGATTGGAAAAAAGAAGTCATTACTGAACCAGTTTTCATTGCAAACTTGTTGTTAGTCCAAATCAATTCATTGAGAGTTTCTCCCCTGGAGCTTCCGTTATAATCATTTTATCTAAAATTGTATGAGAACAGTTAAATTAGTTACCAAGGCAGCTGAGCCAGTCTGTGGTTGGGATAAGAGAGACGGTGTCAGATAAACATAATTGCCAAATTGAGAAATAATGCCTGTGATGAAATAAAAAAAATTTCTTCAAGTGACTAAAAAATATATATATATGGTAAAATGTTTAAAAATAGCTTTCACTTGTTTTCTTACAGAATGATTTTATATTTAGTCAGTACCAATTTTTTATTTTTAATTTTATACTATTCAATTATTGTTACTGTATTTGTCACTCTATTATTTTATTTTCAAGCTTGTTAAATTAATTAGTTTTTTTTATCTTATTTTTTTATATTGTTTTTTTAACTATGGCATTTCCACTATTTGTGTGAAGTTTTTTTAAGAATAGAGTGAGGGGGAGATGTAAGACAATCCCAGTCTCTTCATTAAACTTTAAAAATCTTTAGTATGCATAACATGCTTTAAAAAAAACTTTTTTACTTATGTTAATAAGCAGTATTTGTAATATATCTTAATTCTATAACTATAATAAAATTATCAAATATTGACAGAGGGTGATAAAGGGCCCTAACCTTTTTTATACATTCCTGGCCTAAGAATCCTGGGGATTTGATGATAATTTTATCTGTTATACTACTAATGGTTTCTTTTTACTGTATAAAATCTTAATTGTATTAATAATTATATATATATATATATATATATATATATATATATATATATATATATATATATATATATATATATTTAGCCATTTAAAAAATTTGATTTGTTGCTATTAATCAAGTAATAATGAATAATGAATTATTTTTCATAAAAACATCTCATACAGTAAACTTGATGTTTAAGCACCAGTCTTGTTAAAATAAAATATTAAGGAACTTTATTTTTTTCTTTATTTATTTTAAATGAACTAAAAATTATATTTTACAACCAATATAAAAATTGAAACATTTAGAAACTGCAATAAATAACAACTACTTCTCACTTATCTGATAATGTTCATTTGGTAATCATTTCTAAATTGCAGTGGACATTGATTATTCTGATTTAGAGCAAATTAGAATATGACATTTTAAGTCTGATTTAAGGTCATATCAAAATTGTCAAACTATTGAAAAATATTATTATTGATATTGTTTTATCATATAATATGATAAAAATAGAGTTCGTAATACTATTTTAATATAAAAAGTGTAAAAAGAAATTGATACTATTAAGTGTACTTACTTGATTAACTGATAAAGCTACTGTCAATTGATTATATTTTATTTAATTAAATAATCATTATTCATATATTTAAGCTAACTAATAAGTGAAATTAGGGAAATACAAGTTATATTTGTCTCATTATATATTAATAATGATTATTTATTAATTAATAAATATATAATATATATAGTAAAAGCACTGCACTGATTCTCCATTTTGTTGATTTTTTCCGCTTTAGCAACAAACAAGAGCCCTTCTAGCTTAAAAGTCATTATATTTTCAAATAGGTCTCTAGCGACACCCCTGAATCCATATCACACCAAATTTTAGATAATTTTAATTATTAAAAAAATCAAAATCATGTGATTTTTAATTGTAAAAAATTTAAAAGTATTATTATTATTTTTTTGACAAAATGGTTTTTTAACTATTTAGATAACTTCTATAAATATATATCTCGTATTTACAATCATAAATGATAAGCAGGTGTGTAGCATAAAAATAATTAATGTTTTTCCATGATGCGCAGAATCTCAATTTAAAACTCCAAAAACGAAAAGAGAAAATCTCTCCAGTTTTCTCTTTTCGTATGTGTTTGTGCTTTTTGTGTTGGTTTGCGTTTGTTTGTTATTGTTCAATTTTTAATACTAAGCGGGGTTACCAATTTTCAAGATTAAGCGGGGTTATAACTTTTTGTCGCTTTAGAACAACGTTTAAGAAAAAGAAAAACCATTAAGACTCACAAATTAATTTTAAAATTTAGACTGTCTTTTATATATTACTTTTATATGTTGCTTTTTTTTTTGAGATAAAATAATGAGACTAATAAATTTTCTACTAAGTGAAGTCAACATTAACGTTCATAACTTTTTTGCCCTAAATAGTTTTGTGTGAATTTTGTATCAAAGTAGATAAAATTACGCCTTGAACGATACCATGCATCATTACCGTAAACGGGGGTGAATATGAACAGCGGGGTGAAAATGAACACTAGTACTAGCTTAACTTAATGGTGAAGCAGCACATAAAATGTAGCTAAAAATTGAAATTTTTTGACTCACTTGCCTTAAATATAATGTGTGAAAGATAATTTTCGGCTGCTCTTAAAATTTTCTTTTCCCGCCTTTTCTCTATCGCATATAAACAGTACAAGCTACGTGGTTCGTGTTATTAACCCACCTATCAAGGAGTATCTTAAGAACCGCTCATCTAAACGTCATCAAAGTTACCTCAATTTAGGTTCAGGTAAATAATGTTCTAATAAAACAATAATTTAATGTATAACTTGTCTGTATCCGATTATAAGCTCATTTGAAAATGACATTTTTTTAACACGATTTTTTATTATATTTTGTTAATTTTTAGAATTATGCCTCGAAATTACAAGAGAAAGGAAAACAGTAGAGCTTATAAAACAAGTTATACAAAAAAAGACTTAGAAATAGCTTTAATTAAAATCAAAAACCAAGGATTTAGCTTCAGGAAAGCTTCAAAAAAGTACAATATTCCATTAGGAACATTACACAAAAAAGTTAAGCTTGGGGATCAAGTTCCGAAAAAAAACGGCGGACAAACCAGACTTGATAGTATAACAGAAAATTTATTTGTCCAAACAATTGCACATATGACTGATTGGAGGGTACCATTTGATTCTTTGGATATAAGACTTTTAGTCAAATCATATTGTGATATAAGGAGTATAACTGACGCTCGATTCAAAAACAATATGCCTGGGGTAGATTGGGTTCAGTCTTTCATGAAGAGACATAAAACTTAACAAACAGGGTTGCTGATAATGTTAAGCACAGTAGAGCCATGGTCAATGAAGATACCCTTAACAAATATTTTGATAATTTGTATGAAGAGTTGAAGGATATACCTCCAGAAAATATCTATAACTATGATGAGACCAATATAACAGACAATCCAGGGTCCAAATCCGTTATTGTTCGTCGTGGCCTTGGGCACCGTGCCGAAAAAAAACAAGAACATTCGAAGCAGTCGACCAATTTAATGTTTTCTGGCAATGCTGTTGGAGAGTTTTTGCCGCACATGGTAGTTTACAAAGAACCTTTACCAGGGTTGGACTCAAGGTGGACCACCTGGAACTGTTTACGACATCACCCCTAACGGGTGGTTTGATGGTAGGACGTTTACCAGATGGTTTATGGAAATATATTTGCCTGTTGCTATTTCAAAAGCCGGAACAACACTATTGATTGGAGATAATCTTGGTTCACATTTTTCTCCTGAAGTTATTAAAGCCACGATTCAACATAGTTTATAACAATGCCTCCAAATGCGACTCATCTCTGCCAACCATTAGATGTTGCTGTTTTTAGAGGATTAAAGCAGTCGTGGAGGAGTATTCTTTTGAAGTGGAGATCAGAAAGTCGTATCAAAGGAGCTATCCCAAAAGAACATTTACCTACGCTTTTAAATAAACTAAATAATACTTTGCGACCAGTAGCTTTGGTTAGCGGATTTAAAGCAACGGGAATCTACCGTATGGACAGAACAGAGGTTATAAAACGTCTTCCAGGAAAATATAAAGACCCTGGTGGTAATGACACCGTTATGGTTCTTAACGAATCTGTTTTAGATATTCTAAAAAACAATCTAGGGTGAGGCACAAATCCAACTACAAAACGCAAACCATTCTTTAGTTGAGTCAATTCCATCAAGCTCAACAGAGCTAAAAAGCAACACAGATAATGATTGGTACTGTACTTTCGGTAACAAAAAATGGGTAGAGTTAAGCGACGACGTGTGGGTTCAATGCGACAAATGCAGTAAACCATATCACCTCCAGTGTTGTGGTCTCATTTATAATAAAGATGATTATTATGAGCTCAATATTGAAAATATCTTATACTTTGTATGCAGCATGTGTGATTCATTTGAAGAATTTGAAGATAGTGATATTTAATGTTCTGTTTTTACGTGGAACAGATTTGTAAATATTGTGATACATGTTAATATATTGAAAAAACTAGTTATTAAACACAGTATGCTAATTTTTCACATGTACTTAGTTTAAATAAAAATATGTTCTATGTAAAATAAACTTCATGTTATCTGTTTTGATCTTTAACAGTTTTTTCCCCCATTGTAATAAGGTAATATAGCGATATACTAGAATATAGAAATAATATGTAGTGTTCTAAGTCACCCCAAATTGGCCGTTCATATTCACCCCGTTTCGGAAATACGTATATGCTCGTATAAAACCAGAAAACTAAGGTATTTACTGCATAGTGTTGATCAGGCTTACGACTAATACAGGAAGCTGAGTAGTATAATGTTCTGTTACAGAAAAAATGGTTGCGATTAGGCCAACAGTTTTCTTTCATGATGCAAAAATGTTCAAAAAGCATTCATATTTACCCCCGTTTACGGTATCTGTCTCGCCTTACTCCTGAATCATTTCTAGACTATAAAGGTCGCCAAATAGGATTAACAAAGTTGCGTAAACTAGGGTTGTTCGCCGAAAAACAAAACTTACGAAAATTTCGCATTTTTATCTTCCGTAATAGAATTGTTATTGCGGAAGTTGCACATGCGAAAATGCACATTCCGTAACGCTCTATACGAAAATATAAATAAATAAAATTCCGTAATAACGCATTACGAAAGAAGACTTGCGAAACAAATCATTTCGTAAGAATACTTACGAAATAGTTCATTACGGAAGGAGCATTCCGGAATGTGCAGTTACGAAAAAGACGCAAAAGATTTTATGTTACGATATATTTAAGATATTAACTGTTAACAGTTTAAATAATAAATAATAAAATTATAAAATATATATATATATATATATATTCATATATATATAAATATATACATATATATACAGTAAAATCCCGTTAAGTTGGACTCTCAATGAACAGATAAACAGTATGCCTTTCTTTTTAAAAAGTATAAAGAGGATGTGTGATAAACAATTAAATACTTTATTATAAAGAACGAGAGATCTCTCTAAAGGTAAATGATATCAGCAAAGAGTAAAAAGAGAAGAAATATATGTGAAACTGCGGGATGTGAACCTGGGTCTACGCGGCCAAATGTCTTAACTGAATGAGCTATACGTTCATTCAACTAAGTGAATAGTAATATTTATTTAATATACAATTAAGAAACTATATAAAACAGAATTCACAGAAAGAGATACGTATGCAAATAGGATTCTATATATCAGGAAAATGAATAGTAATGTGAACCTTTAGATGCTTATAATTAATATCTGGACTCAAAAACTAGTTACTTTTAATAGGCTGTAGGAGCCTCAGGGAAATTATATTCAGAAATGGTTATATTAGACTCAGAGTTAGCTAGAAATTATTACAAAATATTTAGGACAGATGTCTAGTACAAAAAGCAAAAGATTTAAAGCAAAATGATTTATATTATTTGAAAAAGTTGTTTTACGTACATTTCATCATAATTTAAGTAGAACTTAGTAAAGCAAGGGAAACGTGTTGAATTAAGCCTAATGAACTCAATCTTAAAAGAATAACTAACAGAAGAGAGGTTGTCACTATTGTGAAGGTGACGAAAGATCTGTAATATAGAACATGGAGGTCAAAAAATGCTATCTTAAGTAAAAAGAGTTTGATGAACAAAAGTTACAATGGCTGCGGGATGCGAACCCGTATCTCTGCGGCGAATTATCACGTATCTAACTGATTGAACTATACAATCTTATACTCAAATTTATATCTTATTAAAATTAAAAAACAATATTTTCTAAGATCTATACTTCGAAAAGCGTATTCAAACAGGACTCTACATACCTTTAAAATCTGCTAGAACTTTAGTAACGTGAACACTTTTAGAAATTATTGAAATAGGTATATTTTATCAGAAATATGTTTAAGCTAAAGCATATTTTTGAGCCTCTTTTTACTATTTGCTTAAGCATATTCGAACCTGTTTCAAAAATTTCATATGCTATTAAAAAAAAAACATGTATATTCCTTCCCATCATTCTTATTTTTAATATACGTAATGAGTTCAAAAAACATCGTTGTATATATTTATTATGGCACGTTTCGTAAGTTGATTTCCGTTAAGAATTCTTTCGTATGTTGTGATCCGAAATACTTTCGTTTCGAAAGAAATTTTATTTTTTATTAATATTTCTAAAAATAAAACCATAAAAATTTAATAGT